GCCATAATACCGCGCCCACCAACCTAATCCTAGCCCGAACCCTTACTTAATCCTCAAAACAAACTCCAACCCTAATTCATACTCTACCCATAGCCGTAAACTTTCATTTCCACCCTAACCTAACTCTTACCCTAACCCTAACCCTAGCTTTGAACTGGGAGTGAACATCGTAGGATGAAATGACAACAATGAGTTATTACATCACCCGCCAATATCTACCCAACTGCCTCGATCGTATTCATTGGTAGACAACTAGACTGACACTACGAAGTCGTTGCATATAATAATAACTACACTCGCAGAACGGCAACCGCGGCAACCGTTTAGGAACAGGAGTTAGTCTAACAGCTGGACGTCACCTTGTCCTGTGAGTAATTGCTTTTTACGCTATGCTGCCAGCTGCCTTCAATTATATCTCCTTATTGTGTATTGTCGCCTTCTGTGATATCGCGAGTTACCGCGAACCAATCAACACGAGTTCTTTTTATTTTTAATCCAGCCATGTTTACATCGACGATAAACGTTGGCAACGAACGATGACGATGATGGCGATGATCGAATGAACGATGACCGCTGATAGACCGTTTTGCACGATGAACCGATGACGCATGCATGGACGTTGACGATGAACGGATGACGATGATTAGACGATAATGGACGATGATGATGAATAAATGACGATGAGGTGCTGACAATGGTGGCATTGACGACAATGAGCGATGACGATGGACCTGCTAACTTAGAGGGCGACGACCGACGATGAACGATGACGACAGAGGACGACGGACGTGAACGATGACGACGAGGACGACGACGATGAACGATGCGACAGAGGAACAACGACGATGGACGATGACGATGAGAGAAGATGGCAATACCCGTAGGCGTACGCTTTCTAGACGCGCGTCTGTCAGTGATGCGACGCTGAAACCATGGCAACGGATGAGAAGTTTGTTGATCGGTGGGCATGCCGTACGGTGGGCGTGAAGAAAGAAAGAGAGGAGAGAGGAGACTCTGAGAGACGATCTGAGCAGATGAACGAGAGGAGAGCAGAAAGAGAGCGAGAGCAGGGAGATAGACGAGGAGAGGCGGAGAGAGAGAGAGAGGACGGAAGAACGAGAAGATTTTTGGGAGAGAGAGAGAGAAAAAGACGAGAGAGACGATCGAGAGCGCAGCGGAGAGAGGGAGGGAGAGACGAGAGTGAGCAGAGAAAGAGACGAGAAAAAGCGGACAGAGCGGGGGAGAGCGAAGAGAGAGGCAGAAGAGAGGAAAGAGAGAGAGAGAGCGAGAGAGGGAGAGAGAGAGAAAGAGGAGATGGTGAGAGAGAGCGAGCAGAGAGCCAGGACTGAGGAGAAGAGAGAGATGCGCGAGAGAGCAGAGAGGAGAGAGAGATGTAGAAACGCATGAAGAGAGAGAGAGGAGAGCAAGAGAGGGAGAGAGGAGAGGAGGAAGCAGAATGGAGAGAGAGAGAGAGATGGAGAGGAGATAGAGATGAGCAGATAGAGGGAGAATGACCATACTTTTCTCCAGACGAGAGGAGCAGAGAGAGAGAGCGAGAAGCGAGAGCGAGCAGACAAGATAAAGAGAGTGAGGGAGAATCGGAGGATCGCGAGGGCAGATGGGGGGAAGAGAGAAAGAGGCGGTCGAGCGGAGAGAGGAGAGAGAAGAGAAGACAAAAATAAAAATTACATAAAAAAAAATGAAAAAACGCGACAGTAATGACGGACGATGGCGACAACAACGGCGACGACGATGATGCATGACGACCTCAACAGTGATCAGTCAGGTTCGTGATATAGTAGAGAGACAGACACACACACGCGGCGCGCTGGCGCGCACACACCACACACACACACACCACACACACACACATATACACATACACAACACACACACACACACACACACACACCACACACACACACACACACGCACGCACGCACGCACGCCGCACGCACTGCACGCACGCACGCACACACACACACCACATTACACGCACACACACCACACACACACACCCCCCCCCCCACACACACACACAAACACACCACACACACACACACACACACACACACACACAGACGACGATTACACGACAACAACGGAGACAACGACGACGATGATGATGACGACAACAGCGATCCTGATAGTAATATACAATACGAGACGACGCTAGCGCATTCGAACCTGCAGTCGGTTGAAGTAGATGTTGCCAAGCGTGAAGCACAGGACGCGAGGATGCCGAATTACCGTCGTCTGTTCCTCGCTACTGAAGCCAACACCTCCAGCGCCGACAGCAGCTGTGAAAGTCTTCCTCATCGCTTCTTCCCCTCGATGGTGACGTCACCCTCCTACCGATACACAAGCGAATACTTCCATGCACGATAGCAGAGGTTATGGCTTTTTATTAGGCATATTTATTATTATCTATTATTTTATTATTTATATTTATTTAGGCTGGGTTATTAGAAATATTAGAGTTAACATTGTTTTTAACAACGTAAACGGTAACAACGTTTGCCGCTAGATGTTTTTGTTTTGTTTTCCCCAGCCAGGTGGTGCTATTTGAGCTAAATATCTGAGCGAGTTAACTACCAATACAAGCGTTCTCTTTGGATATTATTGCTATGTCACTCAAGTTGTACCAGTTCGCGCTAAACGGTAAACTTTGCTGTACTTCGGTACTAAGCAACGTTTTTAGAACGCTCCTATATCGTAATGCTGATTGTATAGAGCTATCCGTCAACCAGTCGGTAAGAAACATTTACGGCAAACTCAAAAAATAATGCAATAAGATCAGAGTGAGAATATTATTGTAGACGTATTATTGTAGTGTACGCTGAGGGGAACAGGAATAGCTGATAGACAACGAGTGGGAAATTATATATCTCTAATTATAATTAAAATAAAACGAGTGATGCGAAATTATTTAATTCCCTATGAAGACAATCATGGTGATAGAATTATCCACAAAAACCGCCAATTAAATTATCACTAATGGCAACTTACATTGGTTCAGGTAAATTCAACTTACCTGTTTCAGGTAGAAATCACTTTACCTAGATGAAAGACGGTAGCTTGCTTACCTTGTCCAGGTAGAACTCACATTACCTAGCTGAGTAGTACATGCTTACTGGTTCGGATAGAAGATAGCTTACACCTAGCGCAGGTAGAAGATAGCTTATACCTGGGTTCAGGAGGGAAGATAGCTTATGAACCTGGCTCAGAGTGCGCAGAACAGCTTACTGGTTCAGTAGGAAGATAGCTTAGACCTGGCCTCAAGTCGGCAGACAAGTTACCTGTTCAATAGAAGATAGCTTATACTGGCCCTCAGCGTAGAGATAGACTCTATACCTGGTATCAGATAGAGAAAAGCTTATACCTGGCCTCAGGTAGAAGATAGTTTTTACCTGGTTCAGGTAGAAGATAGCTTATACCTGGTTCAGGTAGAAGATAGCTTATACCTGGCTCAGGTGGCAGACAGGCTTACCTGGTCAGATAGAGGATAGCTTATACCTGGCCCATCAGCGTAGAAGATAGCTTATTACCTGCGCTCAGGTAGAAGATAGCTTATAACCTGGTTCCAGATAGAAGATAGCTTATACCTAGTCAGGTAGAGCAGTAGCTTATTATCTGGCTTCAGGTAGCAGCATAGCTTATACCTGGCGTTCAGGTGGCAAACAGTTACCGTGGTTCAGGTAGAAGATAGCGGTATGCCTGCGCTTTTAGGTAAAGACACTTATACCTGACTTCAGTAGAAGATAGCTTATACCTGGTTCAGATACGAAGATAGCTGCATACCTGCCTCAGGGTAGGAGCATAGTTTTATACCTGGTTTCAGGTAGGAGGATAGCTTATACTTGGCTTTTAGGCTGACAGACAGCCTTACTTGTTCAGTAGAAGATAGTTATTACCTTGGTTCACGCGTAGAAGCATAACTTCATACCTGGTTCAGGTAGAAGATAGCTTATACCTGGTTCAGGTAGAAGATAACCTCTACCTGGCTCAGGTGGCAGACAGCTTACCTGGTTCAGGTAGAAGATAGTTTTTACCTGGCTCAGGTGGCAGACAGCTTACCTGGTTTAGGTAGAAGTATTTGTCGACAGTTTGCAGTCCGTACTTGTCCTTCTGCTGCTGCGGCAGACCGGCTAACATCTCGTAGAATACGTGGTAGTTACGTTCACCCGCTGCCAGCTTCACGATGCGAGATTTCTCCAGCAGATATTCCTTCGTCTGCGCGCCAGTTATCACACCGCTAAAACAGGTAAAAACAGCAATGTTATCACACGCTAAAACAGGTGACAATAGCCATGTTATCACACGCTAAAGCCGGTGAAAACAACCATGTTACCACACTTTAAAACAGGTGAAAACAGCCATGTTATCACACGTTAAAACCAGTGAAAACAACCATGTTATCACACGCTAAAACAGGTAAAAACAGCCATGTTATCACACGCTAAAGCCGGTGAAAACAACCATGTTATCACACGCTAAAGCAGGTAAAAACAGCCATGTTATCACACCGCTAAAACAGGTGATGACAACCATGTTATCACACCGCTAAAACAGGTAAAACAGCCATGTTATCACACGCTAAATCAGGTGAAAACAGCCATGTTAGCACACCACTAAAACAGGTAAACACAACCATGTTACGTTACACAACTATGTTATCACATCGCCTAAAGAGGTGAACACAACCATGTTATGTTACACAACCATGTCATCACCTGTTTAAACATATGATAACAACCATGTTATCACGCTGCTGAAACAGGTGATAACAACCATGTTATCACACCGCTTAAACAAGTAAACACAACCATGTTATCACTTGTTTAAATAGGTGAAAACAAGCATGTTATCACAACGCTAAAACAAGTGAACACAACCCTGTTAGCACAACACTTAAACATGTGAAAATAGCCATGTTATAACACCGCTAAAACAGGTGAAAACAGCCATGTTATTGCAAGATTTAACGTATAATAACAGTCTCCCGTATCGCGCAATTATTTTATACAACAAAATTCACTGTCTGTATTGAATGATGTGTCATTAAACGCTAAATGTAGGCCTCTTGTGTGATGCAAAAACTATTCATTCACCGAGTAAAATAATTAAAAAGCGCACGAAATCTGATGCAAAAGGGTCAATTAGAATTTATTCCATTCAGGTGGACTGAATACGGGTGATGAGCCTGTTGAGTAGATAGAATATCCGCATATAATAAAGTGGGAAATAGTCGCACGTTTGACACGAACAATCGTTGTCATCGCTGTGCGTGCGTGCGTGCGTGCGTGCGTGTGAGTGCGTTTCTCTGCGTGCGCGAGCGCGTGTCAACGTATGCGCGCGTCTGTGTGTGCATCTGCCTCCGTGCCCTCTTGCGTAGATATATTTGTGTACGTAGGCGCGCGCGTGTGTATGCACGTGAGTGCGTACGTACGCGCGTACTGTCGTGTGCGTGCGCGTGGGAGAATGTGTGCGTTCGTGCACGCGTGCGTGCGTGTGTGCATGTGTGTGGGTAAGGGGGCTTACATATTACACTCAGCCGGACCGTGGGCCTGCAGCTAGACGCATCGACCGGTATCAGCCACCATCGCACACTAAAGACTATAAAAGCACGACAGCGTGTGTACGTGTCGCAGCTCTAGTGCGAATTAATGCCCAGCGGCCCGAGCGGGTTTCGTCTCTCTGTCTCTCTCTCTCTCCTCTCTCTCTCTCTCTCTCGCTGTTCTCTCTTCTCTCGCTCTCTCGCTTTCTACTCTCTGCTCTCTTCTCTCTCTCTATCCTCTGCCCTCTCTCTTCTCTCTCTCTGCTCTCTCTCTCTCTTCTCTCTTCTCGCTGCTTCTCGCTCTCTCTCTTTCTCTCTCGCTTCTTTTCTCTCTCGCTCTCGCTTCTATCTTCTCTCTTTTCTCCTTCTTTCTTTCTTTCTCTACTCTCTCGCCTCTTCTCTCTCTCTTTTACTCTCTCTCCTTTTCTCTCTCCCTCGCCTCCTCTCTCTCTTTCTCTTTGCTCACTCTCTTCTCTCTTGCTCTCTTTCTCTCACACAAAACAACATCGACATGTTGCTGCGAAGTCGTCGCCGACGCTCCCGGTCATGTGACTCTTCTTTTCGGCGGAAATGCGCAACTGTTTTTTTCGCGCAAGAATACATTGCTCGGGTAAGTGCTTTTTTCATCGTCTCCTCTCTCCTCTTTCTTCTATCACTAACTATCCTTCAGGCAACATGCTAGACTTCGCGGGTTAGCGGAGAAAGAACAACGAGGCGCATGAGGAAGCGGTGTCGTGGAAGCTCAAGCACGATTGGTTCAATAATCGCAGAGTGAAATTGTTAATAGATGGCGCATCGATCGCACGACCGGTGTGATCGTTCACACAGTCTATAGACAAGCAATAAACAAATAATTAATTGCTGTAGTTATATCTCTCTATAATTTAAAATATACGCGGCGCGCGCGTGCGGCGTGGCGCGTGTGTGTGTGTGTGTGTGTGTGTGTGTGTGTGTGCGGTTGTGTGTGTGTGTGTGTACGTGTGCGTTGTAAGTGGTCGTGTGGTGTGCGGTGTGGGGTCGTCTGTTGGTGTGCGTGTGTGTGTGCGTGTGCGGTGCGTGTGCTGTGCGTGGTGGTGTGTGTGTGTTGTGTGTAATGTGTTGTTGTGTGTGTGTGTCGTGTGCCGCGCCGCAGTCTGGTGCCTGCCGGCTTGTGTGGGTGCGGCTGTGTGTATGCCGTCGTTGCGTGTTGGTGTGCGAGTTGCGTTGTGCGTGTGCGGTGGTGCG